TATAGAAGTGGCTGGTTTGGAAGCACCGAATACGTTGAGGATGTACCGGTGCCAAAACCAGTTGTCTGGGTCTTTCTTTAATCCAGTGGGGGCACTTGGAGCTGCTCCAAAAGGGGTAGTTGTTGTGGAGACACCAAAACCCCCGGTACTTGGCTGCTGTTGTCCGAACGCCCCAAATGCAGCGGATCCAAATCCCGTCTGGCCGGTGGTAGTACCATATTTTCGCCCGTGTTGGTAATCGGCAACTCGAAGTTCCTATTTCCTGGTTAGCAACCGGAAGTAGCAAGCACGAAACGGAAAAAGAACAGACCTCAAAGGAGTACTTAGAATACGGCGCCATCGCGCTTATGGTTTGGTAATGATTTGTTACGCTGGAGCCCTGGTCCTTTTCTGTGTACGCGCTGAATGGAGGATTTGCCGTGCCCTCCGCGGGGGGAACAGCTCCACCCAGGGCGGTACCGCTGGCGCCAAACGCAGAGCCAGATGCTGCCCCAAATGCAGTTCCCGCGTTTGAAGCTCCACCAAACATAGAACTTCCTTGGCCAGCGCTTCCAAAACCAGTTTGCTGTGGCTGTTGTTGAGTACTGCCAAACACACCGGTCCCGGTGGTGCCAGTGCCAGTGCCGCCAAACCCTGTTCCTCCACTTCCAAAGCCTGGAGTGCCGAACGTCATACTGGGTGTGCTGGTCGACCCAAAGATATTGCCACCAGTGGATGTTGTGCCTGAACCAAATCCTTTATTTTGCGATCCGAATATAGGATTCGACTGCGAAGTGGTGGAACCGAATCCTGACGGAAAAAAGTAGCGAAGGTTAGCTCAGCTTTGATATTGGAATAGAAATATCAAGCATATAAAACTCCAAGCCCAAAATATATATATCAATATGTTATATGTATATATATATAGTTGGGCAAGTGCAAAAATGCAGAGGAATAAACGGTTATCCTCGGGAACAGCAGTTTCAAATGGGCTTGGGCCTCATCCTCAAAAAGAAAGAATGAGTCCAAGCCGATATGGTGCCGGATATTTCAAAGAATGAAACATTGGTAAATCCCGGATGGGCCCCAAGGATAGTCATCCACACAGGTAACAAAATGGACAATGCGAAATAATATATATTTTTTGGCACGCTAATTCTTGGCATGGACGCGAAAACAAAAAGCCCAAGAACGCAGGCTATGCAAACGACAGAGCTCAAGAAACATCAAAACTCTACATCGAGTATCGAGTTGACCGGTAGCGACGTACCTCCTCCTGAACCGAAGCCACCAGAAGTGCTTCCAAAGGCGCTGCCTGTACTTCCTGTGCCGCCGAATGGAGACGAAGTTGTTCCGAAGCCTAGACGATTGGTAAAATCGCGTCAGACGGACATCTGGCCTCTTAATTTTATTTCTTTTTTTTTTTTTTTCATTTAGTGCCCTCTTCCTTTCCATGGCTTTCCACTGGCGTCCGGGGGTTCATCGTTGTAGAGGAGATGGAGATTAAGGAGACCCGGAGAAGTTCACGACAAAAGTTCGCCGTGGGGAGAGGTTCCGTATCCAAAATCACGCATCGCAAAGGCAAGAGGAAGTAGAGGTGAAACAGCGCAAACAAAATGGAGATAGAATGAAAGGGATGAACCTACCAGTTCCGGTTGAAGGGCTTCCGAATCCTGTTCCGGATCCGAATCCAGTTCCCTGCTGTTGATTCCCCGTGCCAAACCCCCCGAAGGAGGAGCCTGTGTTGAAAGCCATGATGAGACAGCGACTGTAGACGTCTGCCACTAACTGCGGAATCTTCCTTTCAAGGAAGATACAAAAAACAACAGTTTTTCTGACACGTCAACAAGCGCGATCCATAAAAGGTTGAAACCGATTAGCGACAGTAGGGATATTAATGGTCGTTAGTGGTGGTCCCGAAAGCGAAATTGTAGTTCGTGGCCTTCAGAAAAACGAAGACGACGAAGCTTAGATGCGAAGAGTAAGGGTAAAAAGTTCAAGTGTTTTAGGGAGACTAGGTAACAATGGATTAACAAGGTGATGAAAAGGAAATGAAAATCAAATAAGAACTGCGGTTCAAAAAGATAACGAAGGTCGAAGTTAAGGGGGAATCTGAGCCTGCCACAACTGGGGAAGAAAAATGGCGGAGGCTGGAGGGGTTGGTGAAGGGTGAAGGGGAAGTTGAAGGTGAAGGTGGAGGTGGAAGTGAAGCTGAGGTTGAGGATAGGAAGGCGTTGGGTGAAGTCAAACACTGCGAAGTTTGCAGCGACAGCCAAGAACGCTCGCTTAGTTGGCCGTTTGGGGAAAGGAGGGACCGAGGTCAGGTGATGCTGCTATGCCTACCCAGGTAAAGGAGAGCTCTTCGTCTTTTGTCTGTCTCCGCCAGGCAACATTCACCCATCTCTGCCTTGGTGGTCTGGACGATAATGAGGTGGCACCGAGACAATGCTTGGACAAGTTTCTCCAATCTCTCGCCAATAACGCTTGAGCGCCAGCATATTTTTCTATCAATCTATTGGTGAGCAATAATGATTAATAAAACATGGGCTCACGCGGCTAAAGGGAAAGGACAAAATTCTCGTAACAGTCCAAGCGACATCGACCCGTTATTGAGTTGAAAATCATACCCGTGGTTTACTAACTACATAGCCATACATATCTAATAATACTGAAAAATCATAACAATGTAAAAGAAAGAGGGGAAGGGAATTGGTGGCGGGACACAATTTAGGCTGTTCGCACGAAAAGGGCAATACAAAAAGCAACAATAGCGAGGAAATTTATGACACAACAAAAACGGGGAAAGAAGGTATATAATACTTAAAATGCCGCTTTTTTGGTTGTTTTTGTTTTTGTTTTTGAGGCATTTTTGTTCCTCTCTTTGAAGTAAATTCCATCCTAAAAAATGAAATATCCCCCCCAATACCTGGTGGTTCCCCATCGTACAGATCGTTTACGGTGTGTCAAGTGTTATCTTTCGATTTGATTTCGGAGAGAAAACATATCCTACTTCTTTGAAGCGTGGTAAACCTCGATGATTTTCGCAACAACACTCGGATCAGAGAGCTATTTATTGTACCGCAATCATCGATTAGAACCTCTATCCGTCACAAAATAACAACCGGAGAGCGGGAAAACCGGACTTACAGTCGAGATATCACCCAAGCTATCCTCCTCGCCGCTAAGAATCTTTCTCAAGATTCTTCGCATGATTTTACCACTGCGAGTCTTGGGCAGGTCATCGACGATGAATACAGCCTTGGGAGCGGCAAACGGCCCAATTGACTTGCGAACCTGCATGATGAGATCCTTGCGGAGTTGTTCGATATTGTCACTCGTGGTCTTCAAGGCGACAAACGCATTGACCGCCTGCCCGGTGAGTTCGTCGGCAATACCAACGACAGCGGCTTCAGCCACAGCAGCTGTGTTACGGAGGGATCATTTGTCAGTATGCTTGTTTCTTGCTCTATAACACTATTCCTTCGTGCTATAGTTCCAAAATGGGGCTTACAGTGTTCAATAAGAGCAGCTTCAATTTCTGCAGTTGACAGACGGTGGCCGGAAACGTTGACAACGTCGTCAACACGACCTCGGATCCAGTAGTATCCGTCATGGTCACGTCCAGCACCATCGCCGGTAAACTAAAAGAATCATCAGCGACTGTTATTACCGCAAAGAGTCGTCACTTTTCTATGACTTACGTAGAAGTCTTTGTAGATGTTGAAATAAGTGTCCATATATCTCTTGTGGGCACCCCAGACTGTGCGCGCCATGCTTGGCCATGGTTGTTTAATCGCTAGAACGCCTTCAACGTCATTGCCTTTGATCTCCTCTCCAGATACCGGGTCAATGATGGCAGGCTCAATGCCGAAGAAGGGAAGCGAAGCACTGCCGGGCTTTGTTGGTGTAATGCCGCCCAAAGGGGTGATAACGTGAGAACCAGTCTCAGTTTGCCAGTAGGTCTGTTTTACATATTGTTAGAATAGGATGGCTAATCAAGACCAGGAATACTCTTCCACAGCAGGTTGTCAAAGCTTACGTCAACAAGATGGCATTCCTCCTTCCCAACGATCTCGAAATACCATTTCCACACCTCCGCTGCAATTGGCTCGCCAACAGATCCCAAAATACGAAGGCTCTTGAGCTTGTGGTGGATGTAGTCATTTCCAGCACGCTTCAGAAGCCTTAAAGCTGTTGGCGCAACATAGAACTGGGTCACTTGGTGTTTATCAATAACATCCCAGTAACGGGAGAAGTTAGGATAGGCCGGTGTGCTCTCGAAAACCACAGTTGCACATCCAAGAAGCAGAGGAGCATACACGACATAGGTGTGTCCGGTAATCCAACCAACATCACCGCCACAGAAGAAGCGGTCCGAGTTGTGAATATCAAACACATATTTGCCAGTAGCGGCTGCACCGACCAAATAACCGGCTGTCGTGTGCATCAGACCCTTTGGCTTTCCAGTCGACCCGGATGTGTACAGTAGGAAGAGAGGGTCCTCAGAGTCCATTGACTCAGGAGCAATGTAGTTGGGATACTTCTCAACCTCTTCATGCCACCACAAATCTCTGCCCTTTGTCCATGGCACATCAGCGCCTGTTCTCTTGTAAACAATGCAATTCGTGACGTCAGGGCATTGTCTAAGGGCTTCATCAACAATCTTCTTGGTTCCGATTAATTTTCCACCTCGTTTCCCCTCGTCCGTGGTAATGACGATTCTTGACTTGGCATCCAAGACGCGGTCGCGGAGGGAATCTGATGAGAACCCAGCGAAAACGACAGAGTGGACTGCACCAATACGAACGCATGCCAGGAACGCAATTACGGCTTCGGGGATCATTGGCAGGTAAATAGCCACGGTATCCCCCTTCCGAACACCAGCCTGCTTCAGCACCCAGGCCAGTCGAGAGACCTCCTTCAGAAGCTCGCCATATGTAATAGTGCGACCTTCATTGGGTTCATCAGCCTCGTAGATTACAGCCACCTTATTTGGATCCTTCAGAGCATGACGGTCGACGCAGTTGTACGATGCGTTCAAACGTCCACCAAGGAACCACGCAACGTCTCCTCCCGCAAAAGACCCGTAGCGGGTGGTGTCGAAATCCTTTTCGAATGTGATGAGTTCACGGGCCAGCCGTGACCAAAAAGTATCGGGGTCACGGATGGATTCTTCATAGAGCTTCTGATACTCATCCAGGTTTGCTATATGGGTTCTTGTAGTATGCTTCTCAAGGAAAGCCTTGGGCACGTGGAAAGTGTCCACCTCGTGGGCTTCGACAACCTGCGTAGGGGACAATTAGGACTTCCCCAACTTCCCCTGGCCGAGCACCAGCATTTGGCCGGGCCATTGACGCAAGAGGAATCACTTACTACTGGTGCCTTGGGAGGCGTAACTGGACCATCAGACATTGCACCCAAATCTCTCTGACAAACACTATCGAAATTCCGAGTTGGTGTATACAACTATATTGGCGGGTACCCTATGGTATAATTCTGCTTGTGCAGGAATGCGGGGTATGAAATTGCGCAAACTTGTATGCAAGAGATGGGTCGAAGGTAGGCTCGTCGCAAGAGAGTGGAGAGTGGGAGTTTGGAGAGTGAAGCGGAAGGGAAACGGTCAGACCGTAGAAAAAGGAGAATGAAACGAGGGAGGACGGCGGTGATTTAAAGCAGGCAACTTGCAACAGGTTACTGCGGCGCGGGGCAGCGTGTATGTACGGAACATTACATACATTACGTGACATTACCGGGGATTCCTGGCCTGCCGTATTCCCAAAAGGGAAGCGACAGAAAAAAATTGCCGGCTGTATCGGTAACTTACACCACTGGGAATACCGTCCGCCATGAAAAAAGCGAGAAACGGCCGGCGCCATTGCCGACTCCATTTGCGCCAACAGCACCCACAATGTCCATAACGATACCGATGTACATCCAGGCTGGGGTATGGAGCAGAGGACCAAAGATATCTCCAATAGTGACAAACATTCCACGAATCCAGCGTGATCTTTAAATTACCATTGTTACAGCGCAGCGGAGACAAGACATACGTGTTGTGCTTCGTAAGGGTGTAATCAAATGAGGCTTGACCGATCATATCAATAAATAATCATTGACTCTGGCCCTTGTTCCGTTCCTCCGAGTTATTTTTCAGTAGTCTGAAGCGCAAGAGCCTTGCCCAGACCTTACCGGCTCCTCGGGCGCAAATTCAGGACCCCCTGACGAGGGAAGCTTATTAGGGAGATATTACCCCTTCTGAACGTTCTCGTAAAATCCATACGCAGTACAGTGGTACTTTTGCGGTTTCCTGTACAATCCTGTCCTTCGGAGTGCGCTGTACGTTGGACAGGGAGGGACAGCAGCATCGGCGCTGTGAGGAGGAGGAGGAGGGAGGGGGGGGGGAAGAAAAAGGATGAGGCAATCCCACGAGAATTTCTCTCCCCAAAAAGCCAAAGTAATGCCCCGCCATCAAACAGATTTGGAATAAAACTTCATCTTGGAAGAGATCACGTTTTGCCGAGCGTATCATTCCTTGCTGGGGTATGCCGGTAACGCTCGGTAACGACCAAGAGAAAATATGCGGATCCGCGTATTCAAAACCCCACCCCGAGAAGTATCATCAGCGATCAGGGCGCGATGATCTTGGCGAATGGCAGAACAGGATTAGTCCTGAGCATCAGCGCTGAGATGAGATTCCAGTTTGATTAACCGCACTCGCGCAGCGCAGAAGCTCGTTGTCCAACCTGTGAATCGTCGAAACCGTACGGTAAATATGCCCCAGGTGCGGCCCGTGGTCATGTTGCTTCGTGAGCTCAAGGAATGCACCACTTGCCCCGGACCTCGCCATACGACGGCAGCATATGAGTCGTTGCTGAGTAGCAGCGCTAGTTGCTTGCGGGGCTGATCATATTTTTCGCCAAGGTCTTGGGAAGCTTAGGGTGGTGAGAATTGTATCGGGGGTAAGGCAAAACTTTGACGACACGAGCTAGTCCAACCATGTCCATCTCACTGCCTGATGTCGGACCTCCCTGGTCTCACGCTGTCACATCAGAACCAAAAGAATGCGGGGGTGGGGTGGTCGTTTGATGAAATCGGAGCCGCAGATGACTATCCCTGAAGCTGAGAGAATCTTAGCAATCGGTGAATGCCCGCGAACTCGTGTATCCATTGAGCTAGTGAACCACATCCTCCATCACATTTTTATATAAATCTGATGCAGGATACTCAGTAGAATCCTCGAAGTCGAATCGGTAATCTCCAACATTCCAAAAACTAATGGGCAAAGTTACGCAATAAATAACAGCTACTCAAAACTCCGCTTGGATGATATTCTTGGCTTCGATATTCCAAAAGGCTTCTCCTCCGAAAGCATTCTTGGCGCGATTTGGCATCAGCTCGAGAAAGGTGGCGGCCCTGCCGTTGCCCAGACAAGGGAAGGCCCATGAACCTTACCATAGTACATGTGAATTATTACCTTTGGAGTATGTTTAGCGGCAGGAGGAGACCCAGGTGCTGTACTAGGACGTAAGTATTAGCAACACCCACTACTTTTCTGCCACCAAAAGGCACCATGATTGTGTTGGGGATTGCCAATCCTCATGGCCTAGCCATGTATGTCGAAACATAGCGCGTGCAAGGAAGATAGCAGAAGGCATGTACGCGGCTATCGATATTTAATTTCAACCTAGGAAATCCCAGCGGATTCACATCCTTAAACCGGCATGACCTCTTTTAGGCTCGATCTCATACCACCGGTTGGAGGTATCGAACAGACGCCAACCTTTTTTCATGAAATTGGAGTCAATACGAGCTGCCCGCGTTCGATCATGACCAATCAGTCGGGTGCAGTGGCTGTGTGGTTTGGCCAGTTCATATTCCCTCTGCGGACGGATGGATGATACCAAGCTAGCAAAGTAGCGTGTGGTTCTTGGGAGACAGTCTGTGGAATTTTGATAAGATTACATATTAAATACGTTCGGCTGGACGATTTCAGTCACAGACTTGAGAGGGCGTAGGATTTGGTATGAAATCTCTCCAGGCGCAAGAAATAGATGTCTTCCCTTTGTTCCTTGCAAGCATTGGGTTGGCCAAGGACCTATTCTGAGCACTGGCGGTGACAAGCTATGCTGCCGGATTTATGCTACCCACTCCACGAGCCGCCCCAAGACTCCCAAGCGGTGCGGGATGAAACTTGATACACCAAACCAACCCGGAACGACTTCTTGTTTAGTCACCAAAGGACTCTATATAGCCTCAGGGTTGGCATGATCTTATTTGGGAAAATGGAGTATTGTGGTTGGCAATTGGGCTGCGTGCAGAATGAGGTTCTCGTGGCTCCGTGTGCAAAAGTAGCGCGAGTCTCCACATCCCACTCCCCGCAATATGGTTTTTTTTCGGATCCACACAATCATCGAATCGTGGCATCTGTTGGGCCGTGTTGATACCGTAGGCTATGTCTTTACTTCTCAACCGATGTGAAGGCGTTCTTGTAATGCCCGCCCAGTGCACAACTGTCCAGAGCCTATTGTGGCGGAAGATTTAGGGAAGAACATATTCTGACAGGAGCCAGTCAAGGTAGATCGGATGGGAGTTCATGCGGTCGTTAGCAATGTGGGTTGTAAATTCAAAACGAAGAAGTTGCAAAAATTGACATCTGACAACTCTTAAAAAGGGCACCTCATTATTTTCGAATTGGCTTTGGAAAACTCGCTACCAGTTCAGCACCAAGGAAGCAGGCGCAACATCGTGATTTTCAATGGGAGGCCATAGGACAAGGAAATGATGTTAATAAATAAATAATATCCATGAATAAAAATAAAGCCCTTATATCAAGAACTCCCTTTGTTAACGTCTTATGTTGGCGCAAATCTCCTTTCCATCCTCTTAACAAAATGCCTTTGGGCTCTCACAAGACAGATGTTCCGATAGACCACGTATCAAGCCAAGTCGACCTAGCCTCCGGGATAATAAGGTATATTTGCAGATCGGAGCCTGCACCCTCTAAAGAGTGTCCTACACTGAGGGTGAGTAGGGAGGGTAGCCTATCAGATATTCTGTCTCGCTCTGATAATTTTGATATGAATCAGCGAGCTCTAGATATTCGCTGACCCTCATTGTTTAAGGGCGTATAAACTGCCTTATAGGTAGAGCTGTAAATGCCACGCATGCCTTGGCATATCCTGTTGGTATAAGAAGCTCATTGGTCCGATCTCCGCCAGGCAATTGTCCGATGGAAGCACCATGGTGTAGTTTCAGAGGACACATTGGAATGGGGATCCTTGGGTCCTTTAGCCACTCTCTTGGAATCAAAAAGTGCCATCAACGCCATCCATCCACTGTCCAAAAAAAGGTCTCGAAATTAGAAGGCGCGGGTAATACCCAATTAAATTCCAATTCATAAACGATACATGGATGGGTAGCTCGGCATATAAACTGAACCATTCCAAAATGGACTTCGGACGGTAAGTCCATTAAACTGATGTGGGTCGGTAACAGACCCCTGAACGTTATTCTTGCTCCTGTTACAACTTAGTACAGATACAGGCACTGAGTTGGCCCAGAACTAGGGATGATAGACGACTAAGAGAGAGAGTTCAAGGGTTTTCGGGGTTTCTGTGTCTGACCTTGGAATACTTTCTGCGGGCCGATGGCATATCCGAACTTGCCGAGAATTAGCCCTCGCTAGATCTTAAAAAAGGGTAAAATTGAACTGAAGTGCTAGAAGTAGATCCGTGATTGGAACAAAATGGCTCTGGTTGGAAAGTAGATTAAAAAAATAGTAAGCAGCATTGGAATATTGATATCCATATTCTTGCTTCAGTAGGACGGAGCCTAGCATTTGGGTCTTCGTAAACAATTATTTTTTTGACATTTCGCATTACAATCGCATAAATATCATCTATCATCATGACTTAACTGCAAATTCCTCCTCGCCAAGCAACCACATTCCAGCACCAAGGACAAATACTGCAATTCTCCCATCCCGCACCAGCTTCCCCAGTATTTGTATCCAAGCTCGTGCATTCCTGAGTTGGCCTTCTGTAGCACTAGTCAGAGCTCGAGTCCCACTCAGCACAACCTCCCCTGTCAAAAAAAGTATAAAGGGATTTTGCGCAGTTGCGGGAGGCGGCGGATTCGTTCCGTACGTCGAAACTGAGGACAGGAACAGGCTGAGCAAATATATGCCTATTGCTAGAGAGAACACCACATGCATAAGCTTCCAGATAGACGCAATCCGCTGCTCCCCCGGCGAAGCAGGTTGCGAATCCCCATTAAAGAAGAACGTGGATATGGATGGGGGAACACCAAAGGCAGAGGCAATATCGGCTAGCTTAAACGCTGGTCCATCTCCGGAGAATGTGTCGTTGTCACCTGATCCTCCCCCGAATAAGCTGCCTAGTAAGTTTGCTGGATCTTGAGTAGGAGACGGTTGGTCCAATGGCTGTTGTGAGCGTAAAAAAGCTCGCAGATACTCTTCCTGCGCTTTGAGATTTTCGGGGGCCTGATCTTCAACATTGGGCGGTGGAGGTAAAGGAGATGATGATTTCGACAGTGTTTGTGGGCGGTGTCCGGGAGTTGGAGATGAATCGGAAAGCGAAGGGGGAGAATCCTCTCTCAATGCTATAGAATGATAATTAGAAAAAGATAAAACCCACAACCTGACAGTCGCAGACGAAGGCGATATCTTACTGCTTGCAGGTGTCCGTCCACTGAGGCTGGTGATCTTGTCAAGCCTCGCGGAGCCATCTGCTTTAATCTTAGCTTCGCGGCGCTCACGGCGAAGGCGAGCCGCCCGCTGGGCTGGAGATTCCTCTGCCGCTGACATTGTGGTCAGATAAATAGAGTATATAGCGGGATATTATTTAAGTCGGCTCTCGTTTTGGCTGTCGAGGACAACATTGAGGCTCAGGCTTGACGCTTGGCATGGCTGGGCTAGTGATGTCACATGATAAATTTAGACGCCAGTCAAGAAGCCCTTCGCTCCTCTTGCTCAGTTTCATCACTCAGTGCTACACCCACACGACTATAATTGCAGCTGCTGTTGCAAATGCTAGGGCATGGAATGTCCTACCAGGTCTCCTTGTTTTGAAACGTCATGTTGCCCTCTCATTGTCCCTCAGCAAGAAGGCGGGTCGACCCGGTACCCTTTTCTATTGATTAACAGTATTTTCAGGGCAATATGACCTATTTCGAACAAATCCCTTGTGAATACCCCAATGTTTGATACAGAGAATGACGTGATCATCACGTAATGTCCGCATGGTAACCAACTAAGTGAGAGAAGCATCCCGTGTGGGCTTTTAGCCCGGAACCGGCTCTGATTACGCACCCGGATGGAAGAATTGGAACATTCGGCCTCTCTAGAGGTTGCTCATTTCCTATACATGGCACAACTTGTAGTCTTATATCCACCGATATAAACTCGTCCCCAGAGAGCCGTTCAAAAGCCAGGATCCCTAGGTGCCTCCATTGAATCAAAACGTTTGTCACGTGTGCTCACAGGGGCCCAACTTAAGCCGGAAACCATCATCCTCATGAATAACGTCACCAGGTTGGGCTCGGAGTCCTAGTTTTGGGAGAAATGAATGTGAAGTTTCCCTTAGCCAATAAAAGGTCGTAACCAAACCGAACTCGAGATGGTGGTAGGAAACCTTGAAGCTAACATTATCCATCCGGAATCGCCACTATGACGTCTTTCCTACTGGGAGAGCTGTAATAGTGCCAATTCAACATCGCTATGATCTTTTATGTTCATCAATATCAGTTGTGTTATTGACCCGCGAGGGCAAGTGCTGGTAATCCCTTCTCCTCTCTCTGGTAAATCAGCAGATGCTGCGGTTCCATTCTTCATTATATCTGTCAATGAACTCTGCCATTCAACATGACGAGTCAAACTCAAAGCTACCCTGGTGGGCACTGGGGTGCCAACAATCCGATTCCCACAGTCCAAAAGTTCCTACGTAACTTGGACCGAGAAAAGGAAGAAAGGGATAGGCAAATTGATAAAGCAACCAAGCTCAAACAGGAAGATGAGCGGAATAGGCAGATTCAAAGGGGTGAACAGGATGAAGACACGGAAGTGACATCCCATATCCCCTTGCAGCCAAGGAAACGTGGGCGCAAAGTAACAGACCCGACAACAGGCAGAGAGGTAGAGATCGACGATGTTGGAGATGAGTTTATGGGCACAGTTAAAGAGCCCCAGGTATCTGTCCGCCATGCAATTTAGCCAAGCGCACCGTTAACGAATTTCAAGCTCTCTGTACCCAATGCAAATCTCGAGAAACCGACGGTATGTCCGGCACCAAAATTATTGCTGCCCGGTTCAATGCTTATGATACAATGTAGCCCATGAAAACAGAACCAACTCAAGATTTGCGAGAGTACAAACGTGTTCAAGATCTTGTCTCACCACCAGATCCTATTGCCGAAGGCACTACATCTGATGTGCCAATACATGGAGAGAAAACTAATATTTTGTTTCACCCCACTCCATCTATCAGCTATGAACCAATGTACAAGGCATTAGAAAGACGTGCGACAGTGCTTTCTCTATGTATATTTTGCGGTATCGTGATTCCGGGGAAGTTGATCGGTGGCTCTCTCAAAGGACTCATCCCTATTGCTATATGTATTGCCTCCAGTGTATGGCTGTGGATGCAAGACCTCATCCGTAAAGGACGAGATATGGAATGGAGCAGCGAACAACGTCGCGGTGAAATAGTACGTACTTCTGGTCAGATTATCGTTTGGTCAATTGCTGACTCTATCCAAGGCCACCGTTAATTTACTGCCAGAATCAGTCGAATGGATGAATACGTTTCTGTCAATAGTCTGGGGACTTCTAAATCCAGAAATGTTCTCAAGCGTTGCAGATACCATTGAAGATGTTATGCAAGTTTCCGTACCCGGAATAATTGAGAATGTCCGTGTGGCTGAGATCGACCAAGGTTCGAATCCATTTCGGATACTCAGCTTGCGAGCACTGCCAGATAGTCAAGCGATGGACCTGAAAAATGCGGAACATGAATACAACAAGGAAACAAAATCTGTAGAAGAAGCTGCTGCGGATGAGGAAGGAGGCTCCCATTATAACCTTGAATGCTCGTTTGCATATCACTCCAAACCAAGCGGTGCAAGTTCTTCTTCAAAAGCTGCCAACATGCATATGCTTCTGGTATTCTACCTTGGTATCAAAGGGCTTTTTGGTGTTCCGTTGCCGGTTTTCGCCGAATTGATTCAGCTCGTTGGCACTGTGAGACTCCGACTACAGATGACCCCCGACCCACCCTTCGCTAAAACGTTGACGTTCAGTTTGATGGGAGTACCTCATGTCCGGGCGGGCTGCGTTCCGATGGTCAAAAGAGGAGTAAATATCCTCAATTTGCCACTGATTTCCAATTTTGTTAACTACGCTATCAAAACTGCTGCGAGTTTGTACGTTGCGCCAAAGTCGATGTGTATCGATCTGCACAGGCTCCTACAGGGAGATACAGTCCAAAAGGATACTCAAGCACTGGGGATTATGTGGATCAGGATACACCGAGCCACAGGACTCAGCAAACAGGATAGACGAGGCAGCGAAGGCGGAGGCAGTGATCCTTATATCAATCTGTCCTTTTCAAAATACGGAAAGCCGATGTATTGTACTAGGGTCATTACCGATGATCTCAATCCAGTATGGGAAGAATCAGCTGCGCTCCTGGTCACACCAGAGCTCATAAAGGCCGATGAACAACTTAGCGTTGAACTATGGGATTCCGACCGCAATACTGCGGATGATATCGTTGGGAAAGTCGAAATTTCCATACGGAAGATGCTGAGCCATCCTGGAAAAATGTACCAGCTAACCTCCAAGCTTCAAGGGATGGATGTTGGTTCTGAGATGCCGGGGGAACTTCATTGGGAGGTTGGGTACTTCGGAAAGCCGCGATTCCGATCTGCTCTTCGGACAGATGGGAAAGATCCCAATCTGCCGCTGACAATGAAGGATAACCCAGCACTGCAAGATGAGAAGGGAACCCTGGATACTGATGAAGCTTATGCTGTTGCTCATACACCCCCCGATCCACTTTGGCCAAGTGGCATTTGCAGTGTGATCATTCACCAAATCGTGAATTTGGAGCTGGCAAACATTAAGGGGAGCTTTGCGAATGGCCGACACAGAAATAGCGAGTACGAGCCCGCTAAACCATATGGTGAAATTACAGATGAAGAAGGAAAGCACCTTCCGACTAGCTACTGCACTATCCTTTTGAACGACGAACTTGTATGCCCTCTCTTTTCCTTTTTTGGATGCCCTGATCTCGTTAATTCTAACCGCTTTCGCCATAGATTTACCGCACTCGAGCAAAGGCCGTAAGCAGCAAACCCATATTCAATGCAGGAACCGAAAAATTTGTGCGCGATTGGAGATCCGCGATTGTTACCGTTACTGTCCGGGACCGGAGACATCGGGAACATGACCCGATTCTGGGGGTTGTTCCCCTTAAGCTGTCCGATATTTTGCAAACTAGTTCCCAGGTAACGCGTTGGTATCCATTGGATGGGGGCATTGGCTTTGGACGTGCTCGAATCTCCCTTTTGTTTAGAAGCGTCGAAACAAGGCTCCCGCCGCCTCTTCTTGGTTGGAACGTCGGATCTTTCCAGATTACATCAGACCGCATTACTGCGCTGGATTACCATCACCATGCCAAGCTTAAGGTACGAACGAGCGGGAGTATTGGTTCGCTGCCCCGAGGAGTGTGCAGTACGCTTGAGGGTGGCAAAGGCATGTACTTCGACACGAGCTCGAAGGAGTTGAAAGACCGGATCCGCCTGCCAGTTAAATACAGACATAGATCTGCGATCATTTTTGAGCTTCGCAAGGGAGATAAGCTGGGATGTGCCGTTTTCTGGCTCAATCAATGCACGGACAATGAAGACGCGGACATCGACATCCCGATCTGGAACACAAGGAACGAAGCGCGACTGACACAGAACTACATCACTGAAGAAAAATGGCAGCAGAAACGAGTTCCAGGCTTGGAAGACCTTACCATGATAGGACGCCTTCAGTTCAAAGCCAAATTCTCCTCCGGCATCGACGAGGGTCACCGCCCCTTGGTTCAGGACAATAACTCCCGTGAAACGTTTGAGACGTGGGAAGCATGCATATCAGAAGGTGTGAGGGATCGAACCATTTCAAGGGAATTGCCGAACTTCGTTCAAGAGCTGCATGACAAGTCTCTCATTCAGGAGCGGGATATCCTCCGACGAGCTAGTTCTGAGGAGCGGAGACGCTGGATCGATGTGGACGGAATCGATTGGAGAGAGGCATTTGGCACCGACCCGAATGAGATTGCGGACCACCAACGGCGTAACCTCATTGACCTAGGCGTCGAGGACCACGTGCGATGTTCAGTGTCGTCTTTGCAAATTAAGGAACGGAAGAGCGGAGAGAGTTCTCATTCGGCACACCTGGGACGAGATTCAGGTTCTGCAGATAACGAACATCACACATGCGATCTTGAGAACGCCGCCGACAACGACGGTGAGTACCGTTGCCATTCCGAATCCGAATCAGAATCCGATACTGATACTGACGCGAAAGAAGCCGATTCGTTTACGACGACAGACACCAACCGACGGTCATCGGAGACGAATCGGGAGCGCGCACAACGCATCGGCAACAAGGCAAATAAACGGACAGAGCACCGCAAGCAGAGGGGAATCATGCAGTGGAAGCCAGCACGTAATGCGGCGTTTGCAAAGGATGAGGCATCATTCGCCATTAAGAAAGTTAAGAATAGGTTTGCGGGCGGGCTATCGGGGAGAGAACCTGACATCGAAACAGAGGTCAGCGGCTGAATGGAGTTACATGCAGTTTGCCTCTGACAATGTCTTTCCTCGTTCTTTGGACTTGGTCTCTCTCGTTGGCCTTTTCCTTTAAAAATTTATTTGGGGACAATTTATTTTCAATCTTTTTTCCCGTTGCGAATTCCCTTTATGATCGATCCTACATCAATTTGACTAAATAACTGAGCCCAGTTTGATCAGCACCATTTCACTGATGAGAGTATAGAGATAACTACTAGTATCTGTGATACCGCCAATGAAATTGAGCGTCATGCGCAGTTAATGAAGTACTCAAGCTAAGTAAGTAAGAACTTCCAAATCAAGAAAAAGAAAAGGCCAAATCACAAAAATCCAAATGAAGAAGGTGATAATATCAGGAAAATAGAGATAGAAGTAAAAATAACCAATATCCCCAACCATCCATCGTTGTCCAGGTCCCTTTTCTACATAGTAGTAATCAGCTTCGAAAAGTCGCTTAGGGACGGAGTGCCTGGACTAATTAATCTTTCCAACTTCCTCCACGCCTTCCCCTCTCCTCCCTGAGGGCAACTCACGTCTAGCGACCTGATTCTGAATTGGTGAATGGAGGAGACATCTCATCTCCATTGTATTCAATGATCAAGCTAGTGGGCATAGGCGCGGGTATTTTAAGACATTAAAGGGAGTTGTCGGCTTTTGGTTTGTCCCCCTTTCCTTTCCCCCCCCCCCCCCCACCCAGCCCCGCCCGTTCCCGTCAAAAAGAAAAGGAAAGGAAAAGAAAAAGAAACGAAAGAAACTGGTGACTATCAAAGAATAAAAATTGTAACCGACTACGCGGTAGTTAACCCACTAGTTAGGACCCCAGCGCGCTGGGGGGAAAGCGGATATATCAGCATCCAAGTAAGTTTTATAACGACCACGACCTATCTACTCCGTATCCCGGCTACATTCCCGGAAATTTTCTATTCTATTTTATAAGCGGGCGTAAAAACTCCCGAATCATCCTTCGAACTATCGAATGCTAGTTACTACGTACTATCATGATGTTAGAGCTGAGTTGCTGTCCACATGGTTGGTAGGAGGATGCACCACGATGTATGCACAGCGTATGCATAGCCGCTAACTAGCGTCTAATAATAATATATATATAAAAAAAACCCGATAATGAGTCTCCTGGGTGTCAGTAGGTACTGATAGACTGATAGACTGATAGACTGACAGTCAATCAGATCAAAATCGCTTATTGTCGGAACTGAATAAGTCCGAATATTGTCCCAAATACTGAATATCGATAAAATAAATTGAATTGCTTATTCTCACTCCAATAATTAGATGATAACCAGTCAGTATTTATAGTTAACCGGGCCCTAGATGATTTGTAAGCTGCCGCTCACCTGCAACCTCTGGTCGGCCCCTCGTTCCGAGGGTCCGCCATCTCAACGTTATCCGCCATCTCAACGCGATTATTTTCAAATACGCGAATCTCTTTTTTCAAAATGCAATAATCAACCAATGTGATGACTTCTACATATATTTTAATAGAGAATAAGATCACAGAGGCTCTAGATTCCATAGCCGATATTGAAAAACCCAATATCAAAGCATTGGCAAGAGATTATAACCTTCCCTATTCCCGTCTGCTCAATCGATACAATGGCCGTGCTCCGCGAACTCATCGACCTCCTGCTAATCGACTTTTATCTTTTGAGCAGGAAAAATCACTTTGTCAGTATATAGAAGCTCTAGATAAGCTATGCCTACCTCCCAATCGATCGATGATCTTTGGTGCTGCTCGATTCCTACTTGCGCAGAGCCATACAGATTCTACCACACCTGCACCTGGGCTTGGAGAGCACTGGGTCAAAAGATTTCTCAAACGCCATCCAGAGTATAATGTACGCAAGCAGAAGACCATTGATATATTACGGAAACAGGCTCATCAACCATCTCATATCCTTGATTGGTTTAACCGGTTCAAAGAAACAGTCAATAAATATGGAATTCAAGATTGCGATATCTACAACTTCGATGAAACAGGGTTCAGAATAGGAATTGGACATGATCAATGGATTGTAACGCGAGATCCTCGAAGACGGGCCTATGTTGGAAGTTCAAATAATAGAGAAAGTCTTACTATCATTGAAGGAGTTGCAACTGATGGCTTTACCATTCCTCCCTTATATATTCTCACCGCGAAGCAGCTACAGGAGCGGTGGACAGATGAAATAGAGAAGGATGCCATGATAGCTACATCCGACACTGGGTATAATAATGATCAAATCTCTTTTCAGTGGATTCAGCATTTCCATCGGTTTACAAAAGCTCGCAACAAAGGAACCCACCGTCTGCTTCTATTAGATGGATTTGACTCCCATTGCACCTTTGAATTCATGGATTTTTGTGAAAAGAACAACATCATTCCCTTCTATCTCATCCCGCATACGAGTCACCTATTACAACCTCTGGATGTTGGTGTTTTTCAAGCCTTTAAGCATCATCATTCAGTGGCAGTTGAAGAAGCAACAAGACGCGGCTGTGAGAAGTTCACAAAGGTTGAATTTCTTCATGCTATCACCTCCATACGAAAAGCAACATTCAGAGTTCATACAATCAAACATGGATGGGAAGCAACTGGCCTACTTCCATTCAATCCTTCAATTGTCCTTAATAAATTGCGTGAATTCGAGACTACTCCTTGAGAATCTTCAAATTCAGATTCCATGGATTCAGATACTTGGTATACTCCTTCAACTGTACGCCAATTCAACCGATATAAACGCAAACTCGAGGCTTTGGAAGAGGAAGATGAAGATAACTATGATGAGGACTATATATATGAAGGATTACAGAAGCTTTATAAGGGTAGTATTGCAATGGCCAATACAGTGGCTCTTTTGCAGGAGGAGCTCTCGCAGACAACTGCCGCCTCGGCTGCTCGCAAACGCCGTCTGAACGGCTCACGGAGGGTAGTTCATAAAGGAGGAGTCATCTCTGCAGATAATATTCGCAAAATGACAGCTATTCATCATCAGATTGGTATTGAGGAGGCATTGGAGAAGTTACGGCCAAAATTGAAGAAGGTTATGAAGGAACTTAAGAGATATTGCAGAGACAAAGGCATTTATGTTAATGCCACCAAATTTACAAGGAATTCACGGCAATAGTTCATTTACAATATAATCTATTTGTATCTATCAAATATAGATTCATTGGTTGATAAATCAACTGAATATCATGGGTATAAGTGGGCAGTAACGTTGAGATGGCGGATAACGTTGAGATGGCGGACCCTCGGAACGAGGGGCCGACCAGAGGTTGCAGGTGAGCGGCAGCTTACAAATCATCTAGGGCCCGGTTAAGGAAAAGTATGCTTGCTTATATGAGCAAGGTAGTGATTCGGTGAGGCATTGCTCAGTTTCATATAGTGAGACGTTCCAGGTTTCAACTTATGGTCACCTTAGCCCAAACTCAAACAAGGCAGCTGGATATACATAGTAGGCATATCTCTCTGCACCGAGTTTATTACGTGCTAGTATAACTAACTGATCTCTCTCTCTTCCTCTTCTCTCTTTATTGTAGAAAAACCAACTTTCTGTGCAAAAAACCTGTAACGTGACCTCATGTGATATCACATGCACTCTATCAAATTGATCCAGCCAGCTCTGTGATCAGTACAACTCTGATATTGATATATCCACTAGATATCATCGCTATCGCTATACATCATTGCTATACATCATTGCTACATATCATCACTAGCTATCATTGCTATTGCTACATATCATTGCTATATATCATCGCTAGCTATCATTGCTATCGCTATCATTGCTAACTATCATCGATATATATCATTGATAGATATCATTCATTCAAGCAGATGAGTACATAAATAGATCAATAGACAGTCAGATAGTCATCTAACAAATCAGTATTATCAGATAAATAAATAACTAAATGATAATATTTATTCTTATAGAGATTAATTGAATGTTGAGCAGCCATATGAGCCTATATCGATTGAAAGATAGAGAGGTAGATAGCTAGCTAGGCTAAGCTAGCTATCTAGCTAGCACTTTTGATTCTATCTGTAATTGACTGAATATTATAATTTATACAGATAAATAGATAGATAGCTATCATTCTCTTTCATCAATAGTTAATTCAATATTTAACCAAATACAAATAAGAATAGAAGCTATCAGTCAATCATAAATCAATATTTAATTCTTCATAAAAGTTTTATATAATTCTTAGAAACTTCATAACAAACTACTCCATATAACGATGTGACGGTTGGCCGGAGGCTGCAAATGGCTGTTTTCGCCGCTGCTTTCGGCCTCCCGCTAACCGCCCAACCTCGATCATCACGTGAATCTATCCCCACGGCCGCGACCCTTCCCTCCACGCGTGGCCACGATTTTAGAAGTGCGTTTTCGTGGCTTCCAGTCACCCTCGCTCACCCTCGCTCACCCACTGCCCTTCCTTTGGGAGGGGAGGGGAGCCGTTTTTGACCCTTCACTCTGTCGGATTTGGCTCCCTCCCCAGATCATGGATCGTGTTGTTCTCTCTGCCTCCAGTCCCCGTCACTCTCACCATGCCGCCTGCGGCTCCCATCCCTCCCCTCCTTCGCAGCACTACCGGGCCAGTTCTATCCAGGAAAACGTCTAAGTCTTTCATTACTTGTTCCTGTCCCTCTCTCCTGTCGGCTCTCTCCTTGGGCCGTCTTGATCATGGCGCCTCTCTCTTGTTTGGCCGGGCCTGACAAGCAGAGCAGGAGCAAGACGGATGTCAGGTCTGCTCTGGATACCCTCTCCGCGCTGGATGCCATCTTTTCAGACAGTGGGTATGAAAGTGGCTCCGTCAGCGACGATGAAGACGACGACGACGGCCAGCTCCCCCCCGAACACTACCTGGCCTTAGCAGAGAGCCTTGATATCGCTCAGCTTCGACAGAAGCGGTACAGCCCCAGAACCCAGGAAAAACTCGATGAGACCCGTGGTTACTGGGAGAGGTAGGCAGTGGCTCATTTGACC